GGAGGAGGAGGAGGAGGCCCGCCGAGACCCAGACATCCGCCTGCTCTATTTTCTTGTTGGTGCGTGGACCCAGGAGGTCCAGACCACTTCCCCGGGACAGATTTTTCCTCCTGAGTCGTATTTTGGCGCTCCCGAGGCCCGGCGAGGGCCCCCGGAAGCCGAAAACTGCCAAGAACCGCCTGCTCCGATCTTTTTGGAGCGCCGGATCTCAGGGGACGGAGGCAGGAGGAAGACCCGCTCGCGTGACCCAGAGGTCCGACGCCGCCCCCACGAAAGCTGGAGCGCGCGGTCCCGGGGCAGCTTTTCTGCCTCGGGGGCGCCCTCGCCGGGCCGCGGGAGCGGGAGAGAACGACTCTGGGCGAAGCGCCGGCCCGGGGGAAACTGGGTCGGGACCTCCGGGGCCCACGCATCGCAAAAATCGGAGCAGCCGGATATCTGGGGAGAGATAGGCGGGGATCTTGGAGAGCCGCCCAGTCTGGAACCATTGTCTGTCGCCGCGGTGGCTCCGGAGAGCTCCGGTTCGCTCTGGAGCGCGTTGTGACCATCTTACGCTGAGGTCGGGCATGTTCCCTTACAAGGGGACTTTGGATACAAAGAGGAAGCTCTAGTCAAAAAATGTTCAAAAATAGACAACAATGGTCAATCAATCGGCCCCATTCTTTTTTAAAACCATTTTTGAATTTCCCCCCTGTAGAGGGACAAGCCCGACCTAATCTTGCGCCTGCCCCACCGTAATCACCTCCCCGGGTCGTGGCAACAATCCATTCAGCACTCGAGCACTACATGGTCGAAACATGGCGCCGCGCGTGATCGCAATCAACATCACTGATTGTAGGACTGGTTCGTCGTGCAAGAACATGTCTGGCCGTGACTGCAGTGAAGGCCCCGCTTTTCTGGGGCTGTCTCTGACCTCGCGCCGAACACCACGCAGCAATCTCTTCTTACTCTCGCGCCGGCGTTTGCCATTGCAAGCCCGATGGTAAGTACCACGTGCACAGCAGTCAAGCCCTTTCACCTGTTCGCCCCAATGCGTTCGAAGCTGCCCGTGCACTATTGAGTGCAAGGAAAATCGGGCACGAGTAAGAGCAGCAGGAAAAGGATTGCTTGACAGGCTCACGTGAGGCAAGTAAGATTGGCACGCCCGAATCGGGCACGGAGAGGATAGGTACGATGCCCCCCAACACATGTTGCCCAAAACCGCTAACGGCTGTTGCTGGGCAAACGGCCTTTTGTCCAAATGGACAGCGCCCGCGGCGACACCAACAGCGAATCCAACTCAAAATGGGAAGGGACTGCTGTCGTTCTGAATCCCCATTCTTTCCGTGCCAAATGTTTAATGCCAAGAACAACTAACTATTCACACAGGTCATTACAGCCGACCTACGCATAGCGGTACTGTTCACTCGCTTCAGCGCCATTTCGGCTTCGCTTTCACACTTGTGTCAGCCATGTGGCCAGATTGAAGACGTCGGCATTTGAAATCGAAAGTCAGAACTGCAATCACTTCGATGCAACTTACGTCTGCTGAGAGTTGGTCCACAATGGCGCCGTCTGCCGCTGGACCATCTTTGAACCAAGGATGGTCCCGGTGGTTGAGACATCCCCTTAAACGGCCCACCTCCATTCCATATTGCCCCCGTGAACACATGTGATCAGCGGGCCGACAGCTTGCTGGACTATTTTGGGGCCTCCGACCATACCTAGTTGAAGGTCACCAGTCGGAGCCCTGGAACAGTGATACTCAGGCAGGCCAGGATCACAAGCCGTCCAGAAAAAGACGGTAGAAACATGAAGTGAGGAGACGGATGGAGTAGATGGTGCTTCGGTACGCGCAGGTAACCCGCGGACACATAGGGCAGGCAGCCATCGACTCTTGGAGTCGACGGGGGGACAAGACCCTGTGAGCCCCAGCATCTTTTCTTTCAAGCGAGCGGCCTGCACCTCTGGGACTCAGCGGGCCCAGTACCTGTGATTGAAGAAGGAACGACGCCATAAACATAAGCTTTTGGCGCTCTGCGCGGATTTCTTGGATCTGCGCGGAGCGCGCCAGGGGCGGCGCTGGAGGCGCCGCCCGTGGAGGCCCAGCGCGGATCCAAGAAATCCGCGCGGAGCGCCAAATATTATATATACACATATATATATATATCTATATCTATATATATATGTATGTATATATGTATGTATATGTATATATATATATATATAGATGGCGTTTTCTTCTCCTTCGAAGTGAGCGTGCCACACCGAGGGCCGTGCCCCCCGCCTCTCATCGCAGAGCAAAAGACTGGCGAATATGGCCCAAGCAGTGCGCCGCTGCGTCTACTGCGCAGGGCGTGGCCGTCTCTCGTCACACACCGAGGGCGCTGTAGGAGAGATATGGAGCTTTGGGCTGTGCGGTCCTCCTCCTCCTCCTCCTCCTCCTCCTCTTCCTCCTCCTCCTCCTCCTCCTCCTCCTCATAAGCGGGCTACTTCGCAACCGCGCAGAAGCACGCCGGGCTCCCTGCGAGGCACGATCCGCGCGAGCGGTGTGCCGACACTGGCGCGGGAGCGCCATGCGAGGACCCCCAACTGCGGACCACAAGTGGAGCTCCCTCTTTGGGGCACGATCCAGGCGAGAGGTGCGCCGGCGTGGAGTGGGCCAGGAAGCTCGAGCGAAGACGCCCACTGACGCAGGAGGTGGAGCACCTCATGCAGCAGGGTCCGCGTGTAGGGCCTGCCGACAGGGGCCGGGGACCGCCCGCGAGCACGCCCACTGGAGCCGCACGTTGCAGATCCTCGGTGGTGGCACGGTGCGGGCCAGGTGGGGGTGCCACAGAGCGCGGGGCCCCGCGGGCGTTCGCGGCGAAGGCCCCGGCCAGGGCCGCACACGCAGCCGCCTGTGAGGCACGAGCCGTGCAACCAAGGGCTCCCAACGTCGCGCTTCGCGCGGCGCGAAGCGCGAAGTGCGAATGACTTCGCGCTCTCGCGCCGCCTCCCAGGGGAGAAGAGGAGGATGAGGAGGAATCGGAGCCGAAGCGCGAAGCGAGAAGCGCGAATCACTTCGCGCCCTCGAGGGCGCCCTTGGTAACGGGGTGCGCCGAGCTGGGCGCGGGCCCGGATGCGAACGCCCTCACCCGGGCCGTAGGTGGAGCTCCTGGCGGGGGACGCTCTGCGTGAGTGGTGTGCCAACTTGGGCGGGGGGACGCTGTGCGAACACTTCCGCCAGGGCTGCAGGTGGAGCTCCCAGTGGGGCACGATCCGTGTGAGTGGTGTGCCAGGTTCGGCGGGGGCGGCACTGTGCGAACGTTCCCACTTGGGCTGTGGGTGGAGCTGCCTGTGGGGCACGGTCCGTGTGAGGGGTGTGCCGACATGAACGGGGAGACGCCACGCCAACTTGCGCACTGGGGCCACAGGTGGGGTCGCTCCCTGGGCACTATTCGTGTGGGAGGTGTGCCGATCTGGGCGTTGGGCAGGAGGGGGGAGGAGGGAGCGAGTTGGGGCGTGAGGAGATGCAGCAGCAGACGCGCGGCGCCGCGGATTCAAACACGGAGGGCCCAACTCCGCTGGAGAGCGGGGCGCAGCCCGGACAGTACGCTGGCCGGGCAGCGACGCCGAGCGTGGCCACATCGACGCCGTGGCCGTCCCATGGCCTGGCCGTCCTTCGGCTCCCCCTCAAGCTCTACTCTCAAGGGCCGCAAGTATGGAAAACCACTGGCCCGTTGATAGGGGAACCAACAGGTACCGATGCCGCTGCTCCCTGGACCTCCCGCTGGGTGCGCCCTGTCCAGAATCGCGAAGCGGATCCGGCCGAGGCGACGAGGGCCTCCCAGGAGGGCCACCGAGGCGAACGCGAGGCAAGGGCAAAGGCATCGGTGCCTTTCCAGACATCCAGCTGCTCCAAATTTTTGCGATGCGTGGGGCCCGGAGGTCCAGACCACTTCCCCAGGGCCGGCTTTTCCTCCTGACTCGTTTCTTGACGCTCCCGAGGCCTGGCGTGGGCCCCCAGGAGGCCGAAAACGGCCCGAAGTCGCCCGCTCCAATTTCTGTTGGAGCGTCGGATCTCTGGGTCGGAGAGGAAGGGGGGAGGGGAGGAGGGAGGGAGGGAGGAGGGAGGAGGGAGGAGGGAGGAGGGAGGAGGGGAGGAGGGAGGCGGGAGGAGGGAGGAGGGAGGAGGGAGGGGGGAGGAGGAAGAAGGGGAGGAGGGAGGAGGGAAGGAGGGTGAGGAGGAGGAGCGGGAGGAGGGGAGGAGGGGAGGACGGGGGGGGGGGGGGGGGGGGAAAAGGGGGGGAGGGGAGGAGGGAGGAGGAAGGAAGGGGAGGAGGGAGGAGGGGAGGAGGGGAGGAGGAGGAAGGGAGGAAGAGGAGGGAGGAGGGAGGAGGGAGGAGGAGGGAGGAGGAGGAGGGAGGAGGAGGAGGAAGGAGGGAGGAGGAGGAGCCCCCGAGCTGGCAAAGTCGCATCGTGCACGCGAGCCGCTCCCCCGACGAGCAGGGCGCGTCGCCGCCCGCCGAGGCGCACGAGGCCTGGCGCGCGGCGAGGGCCCCCCCCCGCGGGGGCCCGCCAGGCCATGCTCGGCACGTCCGCAGGGAGGAGGCGCGCCGAGCGGGGCTCTCGTCGGCTCGGGGCGCTCGCCCTTTGCGCCTTTCTCCCCCCGCTCTCTCTCTGCCCTCTCTCTCCTCACACCGTCCCTCCAGCCTCCCCGCCACTATATATATATATATATATCCACATATAAGTATGTATAGGTGTGTATGTGTACATCCACACAAGCGGACCTAGGATCGAATCACGTCCCTCCAGAGCGTGAGACCCTCCGAGGGCCCCTGCTGAAAGGGCACTCGAGGGTGCCCTCCCCCGAGGTGCACGAGCACACCCGGCAGGGCACGGAGAGCCGTGGGGCACTGTCCCCGAAGCCAGCCTCGACCTCGTACCGCGGTCCGACCATCTCTCTCTCTGTCTCTCCTTGCCGTCGCTCGGACGTCCATTTCCCGTGCCTTGTTTGGTTCCGTGCGAACTTTTTTTTGCCCGATGGTCCAGGATGGTCCTCGATGGTCCTCGCCGAGAAAAAATGCACACGCCCGACCATCTCTCTCTCTCTCTCTCTCTGTCTCTCTACCTTAGGGGGCCACATGCGAACCCTACCCCACCCTCCCACTTCCCATATTTTCCCTCCTGATCTCTACCTCTCTCTCTCTCGTGCCGCGGTGGCTCGGGCAGCGCGCACTCCTCCGGACGACGCGGCCGCCCCGTGCGCCACCCTCGGGCGAACACTCTGCACGGCGTGGCCGCGCGCGGCTCGCCGCGCGGGGGCCGCGCTGCGCTCGCAGCGTGCGGCGGGCGCGTACAAGGGGGGTGGGGGGAGGGGGGAGGGCTTCTTAGAAGCAGGCTGCTTCTTAGAAGGCGCCGGCCTTACGTCTATAGAGAAGGCCCGCGCCTTCTAAGAAGCACGGGTGCTTCGAAGAAGCCCCCCCCCCCCCCCCCCACCCCCCTTGTGCGCGTGGCTGAAGCGTGCAAGACTCGCGCTGCCACGAGTCGGCACACTGATCGCCGGCCGTTTCTTCCATCTCGGCCCGGTGTGCTCCAGGCTCCAGGCGAGGGCCGCCGATGACAGTTTCGAAGATCCCGCCTTCCCGTACCACTGACTGCCTTTAAGTCGGGCCTGTCCCCCTACAGGGGGATTTTCGACGAAAAATAAAAGATACCCCACACATAATCGAGAAAATAGTCCAAAAATAGTCTGGGGACTATGTTTTGAATAGACTTGGACCTTCTGGGGGTATGTCTGAAGCATCTTTTAGTCTTCGTCGAAAATCCCCCTGTAGGGGGACACGCCCGACACAAAACTACCTCCTTCCGGCCGAGTCTCCGGGCTCGGAAGGCCGCCGTGCAACAGGAACAACTCCAGCGCGCGGCGATGGCACAGAGCCTCCGACCAAGAAAGCGGCCTGGGTCCCGCAGCGACCGCGCGGTCTCCTGCCAAAGCCTCCGGGAGCGTGGGAGAGCCCCACGCGCACGGCAACGACGTCCACTGCGAGACCCACTCTGACGGCCTGCGAGGGCAACCGCCGCACCGCCGCGCCTCCCCTCGCCATCGCTCGGACGTCCACTCTCCGTGCACACGTCGGCTTCGTGCGGGTTCTTTCCGCAACATCACCCAAGCTGCTCCTCCCCAGACATCCGGCTGCTCTGATTGTGTTCGATGCGTGGGCCAAAGATGTCCAGGCCACTTCCCTGGGGCGGGCTTTACGTCCCGACTCGTTTCTTGACGCTCCCGAGGCCGAGCGAACGCCCCCAGAGACCGAAAACGGCAAAGACCCCCTGCTCCAATCTTAGATCTCGGGGTCGATGGCCCTCGCCGCGACACAAGGCGCACGCCCGAGCGGTGCCACGCTTTCCCCCTCCGCCCTCGGAGGGCGGCGAGCCCGCCGCAGCCACCCGAGAGGCTGCCGCTCTCGCTGGCCCTCTCGGCCGCGGCCCTTCCTCGCCGCACGCCCCGCGGCGCGACCGCGGCCCCCTGGCGGCAGGCGGCGCCGCCCTCGGCCCACGCGCCCCTGCCCATCCGCCGGAGCCTCCCGGGGCCCGAGGGCGCCTGCGCGCGCCCGCCGCCCGTGGCTCCTCGTCGACCGGGCCCCGCCTCTCCCCACCGCCGCCGCCGCGGCCGCTCTCTCTCCCCCTCTCTCTCTCTCTCTCGCTCTGCATATAATATGTGTCCGCCCGCCCTGGCGTGCGCAGCGCTCCCGGTGCGCTCGGCCGCCCGGCGCTCTGCAGGCGCGCTCGCGTCCGCCGGCGCTGGCGCCAGAGAGCTGAGCGCGCGCAGCTCCCGCTGGGCACGCGCCGGACGCGCGCCGCCCCGCCAGCGACCCCACGGGCCGGGCGGCTCCACGCGGGGCTGCCCGGAGGCCCCGACCCGCCGAGCGGCTGCGGACCTCCGCCCGCTGGCCGAGCCTGCGGCGCACCAGCCTCCTCGTCGTCGGGGGGCCCCGCGCACTGTGGGGGGGATGGGGCCGTCCTCTTCCTCCCATGCACCCAGCTCCCCCCTTTTTTCCGATAGCGACTAACGCACACGATGGGGCCTCGCTGGGAGCTCCAGGTCGGCTACGTGGCACGCGTGCGCGGGTAGGGAACAGATCAGCGCAATGGTGAGGGACGGGAGGCAGGGGTAGGACTTCGGATATGATGCGAGCGCGCCTAGCTTGTCTTCTCCACCTCTCCCCTTACCTCCTTCCCTCTCCCCTCTCTCCCCCCGTCGTCCTCGTCGTCGTCGTCGTCGCCGCCGCCGCCGCCGCCGCCGCCGCCGCCGCCGTCGTCGTCGTCGTCGTCGTCGTCGTCGTCGTCGTCGTCGTCGTCGTCGTCGTCGTCGTCGTCGTCGTCGTCGTTGTAGTTGTCGGTTGCCTCGTCTTCGCAGCTGTCGGCGTCCTCTGGGCTGTCGTCGTGGTCGTCGTGTTCGTCGTCGTGGTCGTGGTGGTGGTGGTGGTCGTGGTTGTGGTCGTGGTCGTGGTCGTGGTCGTGGTCGTGGTGGTGGTCGTGGTCGTCGTGGTCGTCGTGGTCGTCGTGGTCGCCGTGGTCGTCGTCGTCGCCGTCGTCGTCGCCGTCGTCGTCGTCGTCGTCGTCGTCGTCGTCGTCGTCGTCGTCGTCGTCGTCGTCGTCACCGCCGCCGTCGTCACCGCCGTCATTGTTTGCCTCGTCGTCACCGCTGCCGGCGTCCTCTGGGCTGTCGTTGTCGCCGTCGTCGTCGTCGTCGTCGTCGTCGTCGTCGCCGCTCCTGTCGCCTCCGCCGCCGCCGCCGCTGCCGGCACCGGCGTCGGCGTCGGCGTCGGCGTCGGCGTCGGCGTCGGCGTCGGCGTCGTCATCGTCGGCGTCGGAGTCGGCGTCGGCGTCGTCGTCGCGGTGGTGGTGGTGGTCGTCGTCGTCGTCGAGGTCGTGGTCGTCGTCGTCGTCGTCGTCGTCGTCGTCGGCGTCAGTCGGCGTCGGCATCGGCGTCGGCGTCGGCCTCGGCCTCGGCCGCGGCCTCGGCCTCGGCGTCGGCGTCGGCGTCGTCATCGTCGGCGTCGGCGTCGTCGTCGGCGTCGTCGTCGTCGTCGTCGTCGTCGTCATCGTCGTCTTCGTCGTCGTCGTCGGGGGGCAATCTCCTGCTCCCTCCGGTGCTTGCGGCCCCCCGCGGGGTGGCGTCTTGTGCCCCTGCAGAGGTTGCTCCTCCATGCCCTCTGTTCCACAAAGGCAGAAACTCCACTCCGAGAATAACCACCCCGACACGCGAGACCGCTTCGTAAACGCACCCAGAGCAGGAATCGAACAAGGCAAGGCTGTTTAGTAAACGCCCAGGTCCGCTTAGTAAGCGCCAATTGTCTGGTCCGGATGGCTTTTCCTCTCCCTCAGCTGGAGGCTCACGGTCTGAAACCCGCGACTCTGGCGGCTGTAACGGAAAGAGCGAGATACGAGTGATGACGTTCTGGTGTGGGCGAAACCCTAAAGGGAGGGGTTCCAGGGGAGGGGGGTAGTGGGAACATTTGCGTGTTCATGGCCGTTTTCGGGTTTTCCCTTGGGTTTTTTGATGTTTTTCGGATTCTCCCTCATCGCGGCCCAAGAGAGCCCAAGACCGCCCAAGACGGCCCAAGAGGTCCCCAAGAGGCCCCCAAGAGGCCCCCAAGAGGCGCCCAAGGGGCGTCCCAAGAGGGCCCCAAGAGGCCGAAATCATTGATTCTCCAAAAAGGAAAACATATATTTTTAGCATATGCGCTTTGTCGGCTTTCACGGCGCTGACGACGGCCCAAGAGGCCCCCAAGACCGCCCCAAGACGGCCCAAGAGGCTCCCAAGAGGCCCTCAAAACGGCCCAAGAGGGCCCCAAGACGGCCCAAGAGGCGCTCAAGACGGCCCAAGAGGGCGCCAAAACGGCCCCAAGAGGGGGACCACGAATCGAAAAGTCTAGCCTTTCGCCCCAAGACGCTCTCAGGAGGCTCCCAGAGCCCCCCAAGAAGCCCCAAGAGGCCCCCAAGAGGCGTTCCAAGAGGCCACCGGGAGGCGGAAATGAATGAATTCCGATGGGAGAAACTACATTTTTTACATACAAGGCTTTTCGGCTTTCACTGCGTTGAAGACGCTCCAAGAGGCCCCCAAGACCGCCCCAAGAGGGCCCAAGAGGCTCCCAAGAGGCCCCCACAACGGCCCAAGAGGGCGCCAAGACGGCCCAAGAGGCGCCCAAGACGGCCCAAGAGGGCCCCAAGACGGCCCCAAGAGGGGGACCACGAACCGAAAAGTCTAGCCTTTCGCCCCAAGAAGCTCCCAGGAGGCCCCCAGAGCCCCCCAAGAAGCCCCAAGAGGCCCCCAAGAGGTTCCCAAGCGGCCTCCAAAAGGGCCCGACAAGGGGTCCAATAGGACTCCCAAGAAGGCCCAGAGGCGCCAAATAGAGAGCGATCGCTAATGCAAAAAGCTCTTCACACCAAGGCTCCCAAGAGCGAACGGTGACGTAAACAAGCTGATAAGACCCAGGCTTCCAGCAGAGAGCGGTGACGTTAAAGTTTCTGATACCAAGGCCCAGCCCAGGCTCAGGAACGGGCGGCAACGCAACAATCTCTGAACACCAAGGCTCCCAAGAGCGAGGGGTGACGTAACAAGCTCTCAGCGCCAAGGCTCCCAGTACGAACGGTGGTGAGTAATTTCGGTTTCTGTTTCTGAAGCGCTCTTTCCGTTTCCGTGCCGGGCCAGGTAACGGAAAGAGCGAGGTACGAGTGATGACGTTCTGGTGTGGGCGAAGCCCCTTAAGGGGGGTTCCAGGGGGGGGGCGTAGGAGGAACATTTGCGGTCTAATGGCCGTTTTGGGGGTTTCCCGTGGGTTTCTGCATGTTTTTCGGATTCTCCCTCATCACGGCCCAAGAGCGCTCCAAGAGAGCCCAAGACCGCCCAAGACGGCCCAAGAGGTCCCCAAGAGGCCCCCAAGAGGCGCCCAAGGGGCGTCCCAAGAGGGCCCCCAGAGGCCAAACTCATCGCTTACCCAAGGAAAACGTATATATGTTTAGCATCTGCGGCTTTTCGCCTTTCACGGCGTTGACGACGGCCCAAGAGGCCCCAAACATTGCCCCAAGACGGCCTCAGAGGCGCCCAAGAGGGCCCCCAAAACGGCCCAAGAGGGCCCCCAGACGGCCCAAGAGGCGCCCCAGACGGCCCAAGAGGGCGCCAGGACGGCCCCAAGAGGAGGACCACGAACCGAAAAGTCCAGCTTATGGCCCCCAAACGCTCCCGGGAGGCCCCCAAAGCCCCCCAAGAAGCGCCAAGAGGCCCCCCAGAGGCGTCCCACGAGGCCATCAGGAGGCCAAACTCATCGATATCCGATGGGAAAAGGCATATTTTTTGCATGCACGGCTTTTCGGCTTTCACGGCGTTGAAGACGGTGCGAGAGGCTCACAAGACCGCCCCAAGACGGCCCAAGAGGCGCCCACGAGGCCCCCACAACGGCCCAAGAGGGCCCCCAGACGGCCCAAGAGGCGCCCAAGACGGCCCAAGAGGGCCCCAAGACGGCCCCAAGAGGGGGACCACGAACCGAAAAATCCAGCCTATCGCCCCAAGACGCTCCCGGGAGGCCCCAAAGAGGCCCCCAAGAGGCCACCAGGAGGGCCCGACAAGGGCCCCAATGGGACTCCCACGAAGGCCCAGAGACGCCAAGAGCGATCGGTAATGCAAAAAGCTCTTCACACCAAGGCTCCCAAGAGCGAACGGTGACGTCTACAAGCTGATAAGACCCAGGCTCCCAGCAGAGAGCGGTGACGTTACAAGTTTCTGATACCAAGGCCCAGCCCAGGCTCAGGAACGGGCGGCAACGCAACAATCTCTGAACACCAAGGCTCCCAAGAGCGAGGGGTGACGTAACAAGCTCTCAGCGCCAAGGCTCCCGGCACGCACGGTGGTGTGAGCAATTTCGGCTTCTGCTTCTGAAGCGCTCTTTCCGTTTCCGTGCCAGGCCAGGTTTCCTATCGCGCTCCGCAGAGGGTCTACCACCCCGCGGGTGGGCTGCTCCACTTGCTGCAGCGGCTTCCCGCCACGGTATCGCCCGAGCCGCAGCCCCCCCCTCCCATCGGCGTCCGCCAGCTGGGCCGCGCAGCAGCCCTTCTCGCTGGCCCCGCCCTCCTGTAAGCCACGTAGCCCCCCCCCCCCCCCCTGCGGGCAGCACAGCGTCGGCGTGCTGCGGGCACTTCTCCGGGGTTGGAGCCGCCACGGCCGCGGCTCTGGCATCTCAGGGTGGAGCCGAGCGCGCGCGGGACCCGCCGTCGACACCGTGCCACCTCGCTCCATCTCTGTCACTTACCCGCCTCCTCGTTCCGCCCCCCCTCCCCTCCCCCACGGACGAGGTGTGAGATTCGACGCGGCGAACCTGTCACGGACTTCGGCTCCCGTGCAGGCACCATTTCCCTCTAGGGGGCGCCCTTTTTCGAAGAGGCAGCCCGACCCCGCCCAGGGCAAGGTCGAGATGCTCGAGGAGCTGCCTTCGCCTTGCCCAGCTCTGGCGCTCCAGTCATTTCGAGTCAGCTCCGAACCAGGCGCACATGAAGACAAAACCCTCCCCTCCCTCCTCCCCTCTCCCCCCCCCCCCTTCCTGAGGCCCTCCACCCCCCTGCCCCCTCTCCTCCCTCCCTCCCCCCCCCCCTCCCCCCCCCTCCCTCCCCTCCCCTCCCTCCTCCCCTCTCCCCTCCCCCCCCCCCCGAGGCCCTCCGCCCCCCCCCCCCGCTCTCTCCCCCGAGGCCGCCTCCGCTCCCTGCCCCGAGAAGGCGGGCGCGAGCTGGCCAGCTCTGGGGCGCCCTGGGCGCCGGCGCCGCGCAGTTGGCCTCCCGCTCGGCGCCGGCGCCGCAGAGCGCCTGGCGGCCACGCCCGCCTCGACGCTCACGCCGCCTCGGCAATCATGGTGTGCTGCCCCTCCCGCGGCGGCGTCCTCGGCGGTGCCTCTGCGATCATGCTGCCGCCGCCCATGTCCTCGGGACGCCAGGGCTCCCCGACGAGGCTGAAGTAGAGGCTCTCCAGGCACGCCTCCATGCGCTGCATCTCCACGTGGAGGAATTTGCGCGTTTGCACGATGTCTTGCACCTTGGTCTCGTTCTTGCCGCGCAGCCCGAGTACGACGGTGAGCAGCTCAGAGAATGTGAGCGCCTCCTTGTCTCGGTAGACGAAGTCCGCGGCGTCGATCAACGCGACAGCGTCCACCCCCACGTCGTTCAGGTCCTTGGCACAACCGTCCTTGCTGAGCATATCCTTGAACTCGGTCACGTCAATAATGTTGTCACAATTGATGTCTGCATCCGGGGCCCATTTGAGCAACACTCGCTTCACTGCTGCCACCTGGTACGTCTCCTTTTCCACCGACGCCACAACTCCGACCACCTCCACAAGGACTCCGATCAACATATTCATTATCCGCCACCGTGTCTCTGGGCACGAATTGGGGGTGTCCTCAGGTCCTTTGCCTAATCATCTGAGCCTCAGCCCTCACTCCTGAGGCTTCCCGCGTGCCTCCTGGGCTCTGCCGCACCCTTTCGCACGACTTTGGGCCCTCAGAGGGCCCCAAGACGGGCCGAGAGGGCCCCACGAAGCGCCCAAGACGGTCCTAGAGGGCCTCCAAACACCCAAAGGTCGGCCCAAGACGCCCAAGATGGCCTCAAGATGGCCCAAGGGGCCTCCAAGACGTCCCAAGAGGCCCCCAAGAGGCCTCCCACGAGGGCCTCAAGAGGCAAAAAGCGATGGTTGCCCTCTGGTTTTTGAAGGATGTCGGCATTCTGGCCTTTTCGGCTTTCCGACGCTCCAAGACCGTCCAAGACGGCCCCAAGACCACCCAACTGCCCAAGAGGCCTCCAAGAGGGCCCGAAGACGGCGTAAGAGCGCCCCAAGACGGCCCACGAGGCGCCCAAGACGGCCCCAAAAGGCGCCCAAGAGAGGGAACACGAACCGAAATCCGAGCCGTCCGCCACAAGAGGCCACCAGGAGGCCACAATAGGCGCCCAGGAGAGCCCAAAAGGTCCCCAAGAGGCGCTCCCTCCAAGGGACCCAAAAGTTCCAAGAACCCCCAAGAGGCCTCCAGACTGCCTCTAAGAGGCACCCGAGAGGCCCCCCGCGAGGTCCCAGCGAAAATCCGATAGGCTTCATACTCACGACCCAGTCACGGTGGCGGGGTGGGCCGAAGGCCATTCGATAGTCACGTAGGCCAGGAGGACGAACAGAAAGAAGAACATTGCGAAGAACACGTCCTCGGCCGCCATCAGGTCAGTGGTCGGCTTGAAGTCGGGGAGGATGCCTCCGAGCAGCAGCGTGCTCATGGTGGTCAGCATGTCGGAGCAGATGGTCTCCCCGAGGTCGGTCCCCTTGGCAAGCTGGGTGAAAACGAGCGCAAACGTGTAGACGATCATCACCAGGAGGCACATGATCACAAACACTGTTCGCGCGACGATCACGACGCCGCGGGCAATCACCATGAGCTCGGGCACCGTCTTGAGCAGGCGCGCGACGCGCGCCGCGCGTGTCATGCGGAACAGCCGCACCACTCGGAGGACCGACGTGGAGCTAGAACTCGTGCTGAGGGATCCGTCGGTCATCCACACGAGGAGGGTGAGGACCCATGTCTCGAAGGCCATGAAGAAGACAAGGACTGAATCGAACATGAACCAGTTGTCCTTCAGGACGTCCGTCTTCAGTTTGAAGGCCATGAGCCTTATGATCAGCTCCCCGACGAAGAACGCGCAGAAAAAATTCTCCACGATGATGAAGGGAGGGTCAGCATGTGCCAAGAGAGCTTCGTCGTTGTAGTCCGTCTCCACTGCGAGCCAGGCTGCGTTCAGGACGATCACGGCGAGACAGATAATGTCGAAAAGCGAGCTCCGCGCTACTTTCTGCCATAGGCCCTTTTCCTTGTACATGTTTCTCACGTTGTAGTCTGGCTCCAAAATCGCCTTCTGGACCTGATCCTTCATCTGTTCCGCATTCGCAAAAACCTGACGATGTGTTGCCCTGGCTTGCGCCGTCTTCCTAGTGCGCCGCGTTGCTGCGTCAGTTACAGTGGAAAAATTGGACGCCGCTCGCATCAGCACGGCTCGGGCCCCGACGGCGCTTTTCCTGGGCCGCGGCGGTTGCCGCGGCGCTATCGGCACTATATCCGCCTGCTGTATGCTCAATCTGTTTTGTGAGATGCGCTTGTTGCCTGGTTCCCACGCTGAAGCGGGGCCCGCCCCCGTCCCATTTGGGACAACGCGTTGGCTGAAACCAGGGGTGAGGTTGGACGCCCTTCTCTCTGTGGCGATGCCCTCCTTCTGCCCTCCAAGCTCGAGGCTATCGAGAACCTGGTCGATCTGGTCGAGTACCCTGCTGAACCGCGACCGCTCCTCAGCGAGCATGGCTCGAAGATTGCCCAGCCTGCTTTTCGCTGCCATGGCGCCGCTCTCTATTCCGTCTATGCCCTGACCAACCGGCAATCTCGTGGCCGATCCACGTGGCCACGACAGCACTTTGAGCCAAGGCGGCTGTTGGGGGGAAGTGGAGGAGCGGAGATGGGGACCGAGAGGTGAACAGTGAGCAGGGTGGACAGGCTCGAGCCGGCTTATGCATTGTAGAACAACCCATTTGTCTACATGCCCCTCGTGTGCACATACGTGCGCAGCCACTATAATCTTGGCCATGTCCGATCGTATGCAAGCCACGTGTCAACTACCATGCGCTGATGCACGGGGCGTCGATGCAAGTGCTGCCTTCGCGCGCAGAGGGTTAGCAATATATACGCGGTTGTCCAATCCGAGACAGATGTTTGCCAGCCTTGACCCCAAATCTTGTTTGTTCGGATCCACCTGTGTGCAACTTACGAACAGTGTCTAGGTGCAGTAACAACCGCCGTGCTACAAATGCGAATGACAACATGATTACCGTTGGTGCAAGCTGTGTGGCGCAAGCCACGTGATGCAATACAGGTGAAGTGCAAGCTGCAGCTATGGGGTGTAACATTGAAATCTAATTTGATTTGCCAGTATACAGAATGCAGTCTATGAGATGCAAGTAATGTTTTACAGCTCATGAGTGGTCAACTCCACTGCTTGCGCAATCACCCCACTGTCCAATACCGATGGCAACGTCCAAGCGTGTGTCAAAGTCTGTGCTGGCGCGCGCAAACTCGCGCGCAAAGCGGCCAGCTGGTTTGGCACATCCGATGCGGCTGCGATGACGTCTACCGATGGCAGCGTCCCAGCGTGAGTCCAAGACCGCGCTGGCGCTTCGATGTGGGCCGGTGGCTCGGGCAGGCGCGGTATCATGATGACGTCGAGAACGGCGGCAACGATGCTGATTGTAGCGACGGTGGTGGCGATGATGACGATTACAACGGCAAGGCCAACGACGGCGCCGACGCTGGTGACGCCGATGACGATGATGATGCCCATGTGTCGATGATGAAGGTGCTCGAGTGATGATGGCGGCAGTGGCGGCGACTGCCGATGACGACGACGTGGAGCGGCGGCGCTGGTGAGGTTGATGGTGAGGAAGTGCGCGCGCGCAGGAATCCAGGAACCCTGGCTATGTTCTATTGAACGACACGTTTTTTTTTTTTTTTTTTTTTTTTTTTTTTTTTTTTTTTTTTTGGGTTTTTCTCTCTTCATACGTTTTGAAGAGCTCTATTTTGAAATGACTCGGCAACCCCTAGTTTTCGACGGACTTCGACGCGCTCGCGTGGCGGCGCGCGCGTGACGCATGGCATAAATTAGATGCGGATCTGCGCGCTGGGCGCACGCTGGATACACGCGGATGCACCGCGCGGTGAAGTGAGAATCCGGGTTCTGGGCGAGATTGCTATCATCAGACTATAGATTGTCCCATGATTTCAGGAAAGGCACGCGGGCAATCAATTTGCAAGCTTTGGGATAAAAGACTTGCAGGTGTTTGATGTTGCTGTTGTGATATAATCCTTGCAGCACTGGTTTGCTGTGATTTCGGAATGTGCGCGAGGATGTGGACTTTGTAAAATTTTTGCGATGGATTATTGAACCATGATCTCTTACGATAAACGAGTGTGCGCATATATTTTACTATTTGGCAGGGATGACGGGGGGCATAACGAGCTTGATTTGGATGGTATGAACGCACATGGAAAACGAGCGATGAGGCAGAATCGTATGTAAATTGCAGTCTTTCAGGGGGGGGCGATCACTCCGGGGGGAGAGGGTGGTAGTGCCTATTCCTCCTTGCAAGGAGAATCAGTGTGGAGCCATCTGTGTGCTGACATCAATGATCAAACTATTGAAACCGTCCACTCCAATGCTCGAGCAAAACCCTATCCACCCGCCCGCAACCTGCTGGAACTTACCTGGCGCAGCGACGCGAGGACCTACCTTCTCATGCAGATCCGCGGCCCGGACGGGCAAGTCATGATGGTGACAACGACATCGACAACAACCATGATGATGGTGGTGGCGCTGATGACGAGGGCGACGACAGCGACGATGACGATGACGGCCACGACGGTGGTGATGTTGACGGCGATGCTGATGCAGATGGTACTGATGATGGCGATGGCAATGGCGACGCAGGAGATGGTATTGGCGATAGTGCTGATGAGCAAGATGAGGACATGTGCACGGCAGACCGCCTGGCATATTTCTCCTGGCGCAGCACATGGCTACTTGTCGTTTGACATGTCACTGGCGGCCAGACATGTATCACCCATGCTGGGGGCCAGAACGCATATGTGTCACTGCACTGCGCGAGTGAGCCACGGTGGTTCGCCGACACACATACACACGGGCGGGACACACACAGAGAGAGGGAAACAGCAACACTACCCGCTTCTTCTGCGCGACGCGCTGGCCACCAAACACTGCGCGTTCGGGGACGTCCCCAGAGAGCCAAGGGACGGCCGACTCCTGGAACAGCCATCCCTGGGAACCCGGGGACAACCGTCCCCAAGGCCCAAGAGTCCCAAGACTGCCGTCCCAAGGATCCCGGGGACTGCCGGCTCCAAGCTCGACCGGGGGCAGCAGCAGGCAGCACCATTCTCAGAAGTTGAAAACGCCTGCGCAGGATTCTAGGATCTGTCGGGAAAGCCTTGGGCCTCTAAAAGTATCCCAGGAGCGCCATGTTGATGTGGAAAAGTGCCCGATTTCTGGCCCCCAGCTGGCCGGGGCCTGGTTTCCGATCTCCCACCCCTGAGATTCGACGGCGCGAAAAAATTGCAGCATCGCAGACAATCGCGACAGGAGCCCTGGACCCCATCTTTCTGTCACCATTTTTCGAGCCGGATCGTCTGTGAGGGTCCCGGGGCCCGAAATTCGGGGGCGCACAAACATGGATTAGCGATCCATAGATTTGGCGCGCGGTCGCCAAAACCATGGATTGGGGGAGGTGCCCTCCCCAAAATGCGGCCAATGCCGCCTCGCTCGGCGGCGGAAATCCGCGACTTCTCATGACAATGGGACCGTCGCGAATCCACGCCCCTTGAATCCATTCTTGACGATCGCCTGAGACATGGGGCGAGAACGTCCGGCTCGAAAAAGTTGAGTCGCCAAGATCTCTGGAGCGGCCAAGAGGGGGGTGTCCAAGAGGGGGGGGTGCAAATCATGACTGGCGGCATGTGCGCGGCCCCGCGGGGGGGCCAGGGACGTAGTGAAATAAGAAGAGGCGCAGTGAAATCTGGGGAAATATCATGCCCCCCGCCATGACATCCCCCCCCCCTCTCTTCCGCCCCCGAAGATCTCAGGGACAGCGCAGCCGCCCGGGGACAGCCTGTCCCTGGGATCCCGGAGGCAGCCGTCCCCGGCCGTCCCCGGGAGCCCCAGCCGTCCCCGGGAGGGGGCAGCCAGCCCCATGGACTGTCCCACTGACGGGCCTTGAGCATACAATCTGCACATATTTTTGAAACGCCCATCTTCTTGCTCCTGGCAGAATGCCATGTGCTAACACATCTGCGCGCAGCGCGCACACTAACGTATTGGAGCCTGGTTTCATGCTGCTTCCGGCAAGTGCCAACAGAATGTGGACCCTTGCTAGGGGAACAGCTGTCTCCGACCCCTTGCTAGGGGAAATTCTTCTGCCCCCTCCTCTAATGTATCAGTGCTCCCAATATATTGGTGCACTGGATGCTCAAGGGGGGCCATGGCGGGCAGCAGCGGGCAGCAGCATTTTGCGGTAGCTTTCTGGCGCAGGATTCTGGGACTTGTCGGAACAGCCCGGGGCCTCGAGAAGTGTCCCGGGAGCGCCAGTTGAATCCCACCAGCCCTCGAGGGCGTGGGTGGTTCAGCGAGGTTCGTCTCACCCCCCCCGTCTTCCCCTTCGGGGGGGGGGGGGGCCCCTCCACCTTCCCCCTGCCCCTGGACCTGGACGAGGGGTTTCGCGAGGCGTTGGAGCTTCCAAGATGGCCTCGGCAAGAAGCCAAAATCATTAAAGTTTTGGCGACATCTTGGCATCTGGGAGAGGGGGACGCTATTGTGCCCCCCCCCCCTCTCTGATCGAACTCCAAGGCTCCTAAGAGTGCCCCCAAAGGGCCCCAAGAGGCGCCCAGGAGGCCCCAAGAGGCCTCCAACACGTCCACAAGACTCCCAAGACCGCCACGCGAGATGCCCCAAGAGAACTCCAAGAAGCTCTCGAGAGACATCCGAAGCGACTCCGAGAGATATCCAAGAGGCCTCTGGCCTTTCTGCCTGCCTTCCTCCTTCTCTTCCTCCTTCTCCTCCTCTTCCTCATCCGCCTATTCCGCCTCCTCCCTCCTCCTTCCTCCCCCTCCTTCCCCTCCTCCTCCGATTACTCCTCCATCCTCCCTCTCTTGGGCCATGACGGCCTCCAGCCATTAATTCAACTGCATGCGTCTCCACTTCCCTGATCAGAGAAACTCGCCTGGGCATCGTTTCTGGATGGGCTGGTGCGGTTGCGCGAAGCGTCTAGAATTTGGAAAAGTGCTCGATTTCTGTCCTAGCTGGTCTGGGCCTTCTGTCCGAACGACCAAATGCGTTTCAATAAAAACCTTCCCCAGGATTCCGGGCAAAAGTGTCTCTGGGATTTCAAGGGACACCTGTCCTTGGAATGCCAAGTAACTGCCAAGCATGGACTGCAATCAGCAACTCCAGAAATGACTTGCGCCAAGACAAGCTAGATGTTTCAACCCGTGCTGGCCAAGATGTCCTCGCAGTATGTGCCGAGGACATCGGGAGCAACATGCATGTTCATAATGCCTTCGTTTTGTGTGTTGAGCACCTGTACGATGAAATGCGTCGAGCGCACTTGGATTTTTGCAGTGATGTCGACATGCGCGAGCGGAGACCAGCGCGTGTGATCCACATTGCCTTAGTTTGCTAGAGCTGGCGGCCGCGCGATGGCTGTTTTAGGTCGGGCGTGTCCCCCGGATGAGCAAACATGGTCAAAAGAAACGCGAAGCATGCTCAACAAATAGTCGAAGGATCGTCCCCAGACTATGTTTTGACTGTTTTTGAAGTTTTCTCCAGCAGAGGGGCGTGCCCGACCTCAAACATGGCTGTGGGATGCTCTCTCGGC